GCTCCACCCCTTCCTGCAGCACAGGTGAATTGCTTTCACCTGTGCTCCCAGGGCTGCCTCATTGCTCACCTCAGGTGACTAATCAGAGGTTCAGGCCGCAACTCAGCAGTTCCCATACACTTGCACTGAGCAATATGTTCTCCCTGTGACTGCACATGCACTACTAGGATGCTGCACAGCCCAAACGAGCCCTGGAACTGTGTTCCTAGGAAAACCTTGCACTGATGACAGCAGCAGATGAAAGTGAAGACATGCTACGAGGATGCACACAGCACAGCACATATCAAACTGATCACCCTTCCCCTGCCCAGAAGGCAGGAAAGTGCTGCTGATAATGTTTTCCAGGCTTGTATTTCTGGTCTCTTACACCTTCTCACTCCAAATGCACTCCTCTGCCTCCCACTGAACACTGTAACCTTGCCCATACGTGTCCCCCTCACTTCCCTTTGCTGCATCTCTGACGTCCCTATCTCCCACAGGTCCCAAACCAGCCCGAACTGTGTGCTGTACATTGAAGTCCTGATCATCCTCAAAAGCTGCTGCAGGCTCTGTGCTCTCAGCCAGAATGCCAGACATCACATTGCCCACTGAGAACAGCACTGGTTTGCATGCAGTATTTATGAATAGGTCTCAGCTGTGACCTTGCTAAGAGCCCACAGGACAGAGACTCACAGAAGGCCCAGCAGGTGCAGCCTGGAGCTGCAGCCCATACCTTGTCGAGTTTGTCAACGCTGGAGCAGATCGTTCGGAACTTGCTGTCTGGGACACCACAAACTGCAAACATCCCATCAAGGATGCGCCGATCGTTGACCTGGGAGACAAGGAGAAAGTCCTTTACCATGAGCAAGTGCTTCAGATGAGCCCAGTTTTTCTTCTCTCTAGTTCTAAGCACATGAGAGAAACTAGCAGCCACCCTACCTCCATGGGAAACCTGTGCCCCAGAAACTCTGGTGTTCTGATGTTCAGGTTATCTCCCAGTGCAAATCCATGGTGAAACAAAGACAGCTCTATGCATTTTCAAAACCTTCTGCCCACATCTCTCTCTAAATGCTCAAGAAACCACAGTTGGAAGGGGGCAAAATTTCACTATGAATTAGGAGCTGGCAGAGGAAAAGTGAGAAAATAAAATTTGCAAGAACGTGGTGAGTCAGAGTCAGCTAGAACAGCAAACAGAAGCAAGGGATGGCAGAAGAATCAAACCAACAGTTACTTGAAATCAGCCTTTGGGGAGGCTGCCAACATTTTTTGCTGTTTACAGCTTCTGGGTAATTTCTCTCTCCCCATTCCTGTGGAGCTGAGCTGCCTCTCCCCCAAGAGCAGCCAGCTAACTCAAGCTGTCAGGCCTGGGGAGAGCCATCACATTCTCCTCCTGGAACTGCTGACACTCAGCAGAAGGAAAACCAGTAGCACTACAATGATTGACCTCAGCTGACTACCAGGCACCCACCAAGCTGTTCTCTACAGGAGGGGAGAAAATAAGATGAACAAGCTTGTGGGTCTAGCCAAAGACAGGAATATCATTCACTGGTTACCATCAAGGGCAAAGCAGACTTGGCTGGGGGAAAGATTAATTTGTTGCCTATTAAAAATTGAGTAGGAAAGTAAGAAAGAAAGAACAAACTAACCTTCCCTCCACCACTCCTTCTCAGGCTCAACTCCCTACTTTTCTGTGTCCTCTGCACATCCCCATGAGCACTGCATGTGGATGGAGACCGCAACACTCGGTCTCTTCTGCTCCCTTCACCCTCGTGCTCCTCCCTGACCCGGTGTGGGCTCTGGCCCTCAGCACACAGACCTCCCCAAACTGATCCCTCTACAGATCTGCCTGTTGCAGTGTGAGGTGCTCCACAGGCTGCAGAGATACAACCTGCTTCTCCCTTGGCTGCACAGGAAGTTCTGCTCTGGCACGAACGTGGCTTGGGCCAGCGATGGTTCCCTCTAGGAGCTGGTTATAGTTGTCTCTGTCCAACATGAGGGCAGCCCCTGATCTCTTCTTGCAGTGCTCATGCTACCAAACCTAGCCATGTAAATCCAATACAGGGGTCTACGAATCATCTCATATGTGGATTTGTAAAAATAGCTCAGGAACAAACCACAGACTTAGGAGATTAATTCACCATGTTCCCTGTACTGCCAGTACAAGAACAAAGGGACATCAGATACTTTAAAACCTTGCTGTGAGATTTTCCTGTTCCTTTTTCTTTTTTGATAGCGCAAGTCAATTCCATGGTTTAATTACGTTCTGTAAGAGAAGGTAATTGAGACCAAGAGCTTAACTGAATTCAACATTCCATGGGTAGCGAGAGCATGCACAGTTAAATTAGACAGAAACAAAGACTGCTTGGGAGGATGTAACTCTCCAGCATCTACTGCATAACCCAACAGTCCCGCACAGAAGACACAGAGTCTTTTCTACTGCAGACAAGTTATTCTGCTGTTCCCCATAGCAGGGATGCCTGCTCATCCTCAAAGACATTTGCTGTTGCCACTGGCCAAACACAACCCAGCTGCACTAGATCTAGAGAGGTAGTTCCTAAGCACAGCACTTGGGCTCATCTCTGACAGCTCCCTGGGCAGGTAAGCGAGCACAAGACAGAGCTGGCAGTTCAGGGTGCAGCACCCAGCCCACACTGTTCTTTCCCTGCATAGCACAGCAACCCTGCTGACCTACACATAGGTACCCTCCTACCCACTGCTCTCCTACAGCCTTCCCACCCCGGCTGAGCACCATGTGCTGCCACACCAGGGTAAGAGAGGTGTTTTGAAGCACACAGCAAGCTCAGCCTAATCCTCATTAGAGAACTACTCTTCCTTTGTAAGGGGCCCAGTACTGGGAAGGAGCTGATGGAAGGCAGGAGTTTGCTAATGGCATGGTGCACACACACAGGAAATATCCCTCCTAAAGGGACTGAGGTAGCTGTGACAAAAGCAGGAACCCTGGGCTGGAGATTGTATTTAACTGCAGACAGTGAATGTAACAGTCAGCTTTTTTCTTGACTGCTGGATGTTTTGCAGGCAACCACAGCAGATGCTACAGAGAACACTGATAATTATGGCCTCAGGAAACCTCCTTGCATTCCCACCTCAGAGGTCCTGAGATGAAGCACAGCCTTTCAGCATATACACCACAAGAGGGCAGAGAGGCAAGATGACAAGTGCTCTGATCTGGCCTCAGTGGGCAGGTGCTACAACCACCCAGAACAACCATCACTGCTTCCCACTGTGGCCCAAAGACACCTGCCTGAGGATCCAGGCCTGGCCTCACCTTAATGAGGAAGTCCCCAAGCTGCAGGTCACTCAGGATCTCATGCACTATCTTCAGGCACTCAGCATCTGGAATCATCGGGTCGAACTGCCCAGCGATGTCAAAATCCTGAGGCACAAGAAAAGGCAGAGAGGACTTCAGCACTGCTGGCGTGGCTGCAGCCACAGCTTTGACCCTGCTGTTAAAAGCTTTGTTTACAAAAGGCAGCAAAAACAGGGCGGAAAAACAACAACAAAGACAAAGAGATCATCAAGAACAAATAAACTGAACAAAGGAATCAGAAAGGAAAGGAGATCTTGATCCTCAAAATTTTGTTTTCCCCTTCTAAATGAACTAGCAAATCAAGATACTGTTAAGGCACACGGGGAATAAGACAGCAGAAGTGATCTCAACTGACACAGAACCAAAGTTTCAACCGCAAAGACAGAAAATGAAATAAAAAACTCTGAATGGTCTCCACCATGGATTGCCAGAAAAAGCACCAGTATGTACAGCTACAGCTTAACAGCAAATGTTTCAATGCCCCATGGTAGGAAAACAGGAAAGACAGCATCAAAATTTAGAGAAGAAAAACACAGAAGCAAAAGGAAACCTTCTGTTCACCTCCCATTTACAAATCCCCAAACGCAAAGATTTGTATCAGATTTTGAGTAAAAGAACAATTAGGGACATGGGACTGAATGGTGAGTAAATTTCACTGCCATTTCACCAAGCTTCCAAAATAAAATGGGGCAATGGAGAAGGAAAGAATTGTGATTGCATCAGTCAGTCCTCTGATAGCTGAACATGAGGAAGGATGATGCAATCCCCATGGAGTTGGGTAGGACATTGGGAAAGAAAAAAAAAACTACAAATATCCAAGGGCTGCTCGATCACACTTAAGAAAGGATGCAGAAAACAGCTACAAGGTACACCAGGTATCAGTGAGCAGCAGAGCAAAGCACCTCTGGGGAGAGCAGGTAACAGCTTGACCCACCTGGCCTAGGAGGGGAAGATTGCTCCAAACAATTACAAAATGCTCATTTGGGAAAGGGATGGAACCAGTCTCTAGGGACACCCATTTAAACGGGATACAACCATTTGGAGAACTGCACTGGCAGAAGGAAAAGTGAACTGTCAAACACAAGTTTTGCCTGGATACAAGAAGACTTCCCAGTTAGCCTACAAAGGAGACCTTGGAAAGACCCCAAGTTGTCTGAAAAAGGAAATCCACCAAGGTCAGAAGCTGGAAGGTATCATCAGGAATTGTATGAAGAAACAGAAATATTCTCAGTTAAGTTTACTTGTGGCACAAAGCCCTTGGAGTGGTGTTAGCACAGTGGAACAAATCCATTCCTCAGGGCTACCACACTTGTCTGGGAAAGTCACAAAGGAAATTGCTTTCTTTGTTCTGTAATTTGGCCTCTGGGTTTTCCCTTACTTTGAAATAAAATGGACCAAGCATGGGATGGAAGCAATGGGTGTTGTGGCTGAGTCGCTCATCTGGCAAGAGCTGAACAGCTGAGCATGTGAGCAAGATGCATGAATCAGATTTGGGAGCCAAGGAAATTCTTCCCCTCAACCAAACTGGCAAGCACTGTGAGATGGAGCAAGGAGCTGCTGCCCTCCACAGTGCAAAACACCACCCACACCCAGAGGTTACAATGGCTCAGACCCCTGACAAGGCATTGCCCTACTCTACAACCAACGATCTCAGCCTCTCCCACTCCTGAGCTGCTTTTCAAACCCAAAGGGGAACATGACGGAGAAGAAGAGCTTCCCAGAGCTGCAGGGAAGGTGGCTGCAGGATAACAGCCACAGTTCTACATCCCCACAACCACTGCCCAGCCTCCAGCATTGCAGCTGGCCACACTCACACACTGGTAGAACTCCCTGTAGCGGCCCCTGGTCATGGCCGGGTTGTCCCGTCTGTACACCTTTGCGATGTGGTACCGCTTGATGTTGGTGATTTTGTTCATTGCCAAATAGCGAGCAAAGGGCACCTGCGACCACAGGGTTAAGGATGGCAAGGAGGAGGGAATCACCCCACCCAGTTATCAGTCAATGGGCAGCGCTGCAGCCTCGCTATCTCCCCAGCGCAGGCACACGGCACCACATGTGGCACACACCTGTGGGTCTAAGAACAGCTAAGAGATGCTGGACTGGCCACAGCTCATCAAGGTCTCCACAAACACCCTATACAAGCCTGCACATCCTGCCACATTTACCCTATGGGCACCTTTCAGCACTGCCTTAGGTTAGACAGCACGGCCTAGTCTGGGTACCCTGCTGTAGAAAGAGCTCCGCTCAGCAGAGATCTTCCTTCTCTCTACCTACCAGCATTACTCTGACTAATTTAAGCAACAGACAGCGTAAATAACTAAGCAGCACCCACTGTATCACGTTACCTTTTCACATTCTCCCCACCTGGAGGGGGTCAATACCAAAGGGTTGCCTTCCCACCCTCTTCCTCCCAGCTGGTCTGGGCAGCACTGCCACAGAAGGAGGGCAGCAAAGACAACAAAACCCCTCAGCACTGGCTGTTGCAGGATACAGTTAGGTCATAGCGCAGGGACAGCAGCTCTCCTCCTTGATCTTTCAGATCATAGATAAGCTTTGAGTCCTCTCCATATTTCCCCGTCAGGGTCTCCTATAAAAAAAAAAAAAAAGACACACGAACAAACAACATCTTTAGTGTCAAGTGATGAACCCTACAGCACGGAGAATAAAGAGAGAAAGGGAGAACACCTAGAAGATAGAAGGAGAACACTCAGCCATAACGAGGGGCTTCCAAGTGCAAGGTCCCCATCAGCTCAGCTGATGTGCTTCACTCGCACTCACCTTCAGCTCAAACACTGGTGTGTCGATGACTTCTGCTCCATGGCGCTTGAAGCAGGTGATGATAGCATTGAAGACTCTCTCACGAATGGCCATTTGCTTGGGGCCATAGTCCCGTGTGCCCTGGGAAGAGGTGAGGGAAAGAAAAGCAAAGAGCATGTTGGGTTAGAAGTATGTAGTGGCAGACAGGTGTGAGAAGCACTGCAAAGAATCCATTGCTTAAAAAGCCAGAAGGATCAGACCTGTACTTTTAACAATTTGATATTCATTAAATTCACCAGCATGGGTCCCTTTTTGCTGTTCCCCACTGTTAGGAGTTACTGAATTATTGCAGTGACAGCCGCTAGGTTTCCAGGTACACTGTCAATTAACCGTTCCTTTCATTTTCAAGGGCCTTACAGTCAGTGCAAGCAGACAGCAGGAGCACCCACCCAGGGGTCGTGCAGCAGTGCTCTGCTGCAGCCGGGACAGGCTGGAAACACAATTCTCCTGACACTCAGAGCCACAAAATCCTCATTCTGCATATTTGAACAGCGAGACCTTTCTCTTCCCAGGCCCTGCACCACAGTTAGTGCTACTAAAACATGGAAATGGACGAGGGAAGCTGCCCTGAAGCACGCCCTTTAAGTCAGTGGCATTAAGTGATGTTTTTATACGGGAGCAACCTGTGTTCATAGCACTCACAACCACCTCCACGCCTCAGCACCAAAGCAGCGGCTGTCAGGTCAGCTGCTAGCGTTGGAATACGAAGAAAGCAAAGATCCGTCAGCACAGACTGCATTCCAACAGCCCGTCGGGCTGCCGCGCACGGCAGGCTCCCGGCACCGGGCAAAGCCAGCGTGCGGCACGGAGCGTTACGGCACCGCCACGTGCTCCGAGCAGCGCGGGGCAGCGGGAGGAGCGGCGCAGCGCCCGGCGGAGCTCACCTTGGGGGTCTTGAGCACGAACTTGTGTTTCCCCTCCTCTCCGCCCAGCTGCGCCTTCATCTCCAGCAGCTTCGCCACCTCCTTGGCGATCTGCGAGGGAAAGAAAAGCCCGGTCAGCCCGGCGAGCCCCGCACGCACCGGGCCCCTCCCTCAGAGCGCAGCCGCACCTCGTCGGGCTCGGCCTTGTCCTGCTTCAGCCGCCGCACCACCTCCGCCTGCTCCCGCACCGCCGCCTCGTCCGCCATCACCGCCCCCCTGCGCCCCGCCGCGCATGCGCACTACCGCTCCCGGACAGCTCCGGGGACCGCGCCTGCGCACTGCCTCGCCCCGGGATGCGCATGCGCACTGCCGCCCCGGACAGCTTCCGGGACGGCACCTGCCTCGCCTCGAACTGCGCACGTGTACTGCCGCTCCGCACAGCTCCGGGACAGCACCTGAGCATTGTCTCTCCTGAACTGCGCATGCGTGCCGCCGCTCCGCACAGCTCCGGGGACCGCGCCTGCGCACTGCCGTCCCCCCACCCC